ACGCACGCCAAACCCTACGACGCCACGGAGGACAACGAAAAAGATGGGATGCCGAAGTCACACAATTCGTACGCACAGTCACTACACACGAGGGAGACGACGACCACAAAAAGTGGATACACATTGCGACGGACAAGAAAGCATGGTCGGCGTTGGTGCCGAAATTTCTGGCTTATGTCAATTGTGGGGATTGTGTGCGAAACTCCCACTTCACGGTCTGGGTCCTTCCTCCTCCCTTTTTCCCCCTCGACTAAGGTTTTTCTCGGCGCTCCGGCGCCACCGCGGGGCTCTCGTAGGGCCGTCCCCGCCGGGACGACTGACTGGCGCCTCGCCTCGCCTCGCCTCGCCTCGCCTCCTCCTCGCTGCCGTCCTTTCGTCTACCACTCTAGTTTTTCTTATTTGTCGTCGCCTCATACACATCCCAATGCACTTCATCTGCGTAGCTCCTCTAACCGCATCAAGCAATGAAGGACCCCCCCTCTCCAGCGAAAGTATAACGCACCTGGCACCCCAGAAGCGTTACCTTGTCACCTCGCACCTTTATGTGAACGCTGACGAGTCTGCTCGCCGAAACAAGCAAACCGCCCGAGACATTCTCGCAATGTGGTCTCTCTGTGGTTCTGAAACAAGCGCCTCGCCTCAGACATCCTCAGAAACTGCTCTGGACGCAGACGAGTCTGCGTCAGGTGGTCGGTCTGGGCGAGAACTGGAGTGGCCGCGCGTGTTCCCAGCGCTCGGCCTTCCGAGCAGGGGTCCTCTTCCTCTTCCTCTTCGTCCTTCTCAGGGGTCCTCCTCCTCCTATTCCTCCTCATCAGGGGTCCTCATCCTCTTCCTCCTCCTCCTCCCCCCCGTAGCCACCTTGGCTCTTATTCGCCATTACGGATTAAGCCGAGGGCCAATGCCTCAGTCAAGAGATTTTGGCCCATCTAAACAAAATAAATCCTCCTCCTGCTCCTCCTCCTCAAGACTCCCTCACGGCACGGCACCAGCACGTACAACGACAATAAGACCAGCAATCATATTTATATCTAGAACAACAAGGCCAACAGCAGCAACATCAACAACAACAACAACAACATCAACATCAAAAACACCAACAACACCGCCAACACCAACAATGACAACATTAAGTTCCACGCAAGGGAGAGCCCAGCTTTGAAACGGAACCGTCCGTGCCTACGATGGGGGGGCGAATAATTTTGGCCGTGCGGGTGCTAGGATAACGCGCCGGGCGTGGCGGGGGCGATATCTTCGGATGCACACGACCCACACGACGGCCTGGAAAAGCAATGTTTCAATCGGGATGGTAATACGAATCGTATAGGACAAGGACGATGGAGAAAATGAGAAAAAGGAGGGGGGGAGGAAAGAAGCAGGGGAGCCCGTCTGCTTTCGCATTTTTACTCTTCTCAGTATCCTTTCTCTTATTCGCAGTATGGTTATGATGAGTATTACTAGTTGCATTTATATTTCCCATGGTATTATTATACTTGTTGTCTGTTTGGGCAAGCTGTCGTAATTAGCATGTGCGGGTGCGGTGCTAAGATAACGCGCCGTGCGTGGCGGGAGCGATTTCCTCGCATGCACTACCCCACACGACGGCCTGAAAAAAACAATGTTTCAACAGGGGTGGTAATTCAAATCGTATATGACAAGGATGAGGGATATCAGGAGAAACGTATGTTGGTTATTTTGTCGCATACTTCTGTTTAGTAGTAATTGCATTCTTGTTCTTAATATACTTATGATTATTGTTATTAGTATTGGTGTGTTTATTCGTATTATTAGTCGGATTTCGATTATGATTAGTATTCGTATGTTTGTTGTTATTCTTATTACTCGTACTCTTCTTGGTATGATTCGCATTCTTACTCGTAACAAAATTATTGTCAGTCGTAGTCTTATCACTATTATGAGCATTCGGATTCTGGTTCTTACCCTTATTCGTATGAATATTGTTACTCGCACTCTTACTCTCATTATTATTCGTAGTATTATTTATCGAACTCTTATCCTTACTATTATTCCAAGTATTCTTACTACTCGTATCTCGCTCTTATGCTTATTCCAATTTCAATTGGGGTGCCACCCGAGCCGGGGCGCGGGAATTATTTATGTTCGTTCCATTTGCGCGATGTTAACCTTATCGTTTGGTGAAAACCGCCCCCCATCATTATTGAATTACGGTGCTGTGCTAATGATAAGCCCGGAGGGGTCCTTAATGGCTCAATGGGGTTAATGTAGCCTTCACGCATAACAGTGCGCCCTTTCATTGTTCATTCGATTTGGATAGGCCTGTTAATATAGCCAAATGTTGCAGATTGGGTTGGTACGACCTTGGGCATCTACCAATCACAGCTTACACGGTCAGTGGTGGTATCCTATTCTTGCCTGTGGGCGCTACATGCTGCATTTTTGTCCTGCTAATCCAGCTGCGTGTGGCCACAGTCGTGCCAGCGCAGCATCAACATGCATACAGGACGACAGTACCGAGTTCTTTCGGGCATGGGTCGTATGGAAAGTAGCACTGCTATTATGTAGCGTGGCGTGACCGTAACATTGCATGGTCGTTGCGTAACCTTTTATGGGTTCCCAGAGTGCTTCGTAGTGGCTTCCATCTCGAGCCTCTTAGGCTTGTTGGACGGCGTTTCCGGGGCAATCGAGCCATCTCGGGCGCGTTGTTTCTACCAAGCTGTCCCGAAGAGGCTCGGTAAGACCGTCTGGTCTGGTTGGGGGCTGTCTTGGAGGCCTCTTGGGGCGGTCTTGGAGCGGCTTGGGAGGCAGATCGGGCTGTTGTGAAGCGATAGTGTAGCCGTCTTTGGGACTCTTTGCGGCCGTGCTCTCTGAAGTCCCCTTGAAGCCATTTCACGCAAGAATGCATGGGCAACTTTGAACAAACACTGGAAACCCAAAGTGGTTCAATGAGTTTGGCCTCCCATTGGCTTTGCTGGAGGGCTTCCCGGGCGCGCCTCTCACGGGCTTCCCCCGGCTTCCGGAGCATGTCGGAAACATTTTGGTGCTTCTCGGCGGTCGCCAGGATGTGTCAGGCAAGGCATTCTACATGCACGTGCATACGCATGGGGCGTTCCAAAAATGGCCTTGTCTTCGAGGATCGAAGGTGTTGCCATCTCTTCCGCTGCGGAATGTCGGCGGAGGTAAAACGAGGCTGCCTCCGCCAGCGGAAGCCGGCGGAAGGCCGGCGGAACGCGGAGGAAGTAAACAAAAACGCATCCAAGAGAAGAAAACGTTTTTGGGATTCAGGGCTTCCGACATCCACCACATATCTGCTTACAGTGCGAGGGAGTCGCAGGCGGAACGCCCGGCCCGCCCTACCGACACGTCTAGGGGTGCGACAGGGAGGACTTCATAAGGGCACTCGGACGGAGGAGGGAGAGGAGGAGGAGGTGGGTTGGTGCGTGACTCTCCATAACATTGCCCCTCCCCCCCGACGAACAACCATTTCGCTGGCAGTCGTTGCATTCACAAACTGCACGCTCGTCGTTCCATCCTCCACGTGGCAGTCGACGGGCGCTCTTTGGCACGCCGCGGCGAGCCGCGGGCCCCCGCCGTCCTTGAGGTCAGAGCGCCGTCCTTGCGCCAAGCCCTGGCCACTCTGGGCGGTCAAACCGCGCTCGCTCGAGCCATTCCGGAGCGGACCGCTTGCCCGTCGGTCGTCGGTCGTAGGTGTTTACAGTCAATGCGCCTAGTAAGGACGCGCGCCTTCATCTAGGGTTACCCTTGTGTCCTTGCCTCGGAGGCTCGTCCTCGCCATTGTCACTGGTCGCCCGCCGCCCTAGAAAACCCAACTTCGGCCTCCAAGGGTCCTGCGTCCTTATCACCCGTCCTTAATATACGTTTTGACTGTAGGAGTTCCCGGATTCCAACCCGCTGTCTGGGCGCCTGCCTGCGTCAGGGATCGGTTGGCTTTTTGCCACGACCGTCCTCCTCGGGGGGGCGGGCGGAGCCCCATCCGCTCTCAGCGCCCGCCTGCTTCGTGCTTCTGCCGACTTCCCCCGACCGATGGGCACTGTCGGGGTACGTAAGCTTGATGCCTGGGCTCCTGGGCAGGGCAAGAGGAATGGAGGAGCAGAGGCAATCACTGCGCGGGGGCGTATGGGCCGGCCCTTCAGAGGATTGACGCGTCCCACGTCACCCGGGCACTTGAGGCGGGAGCCATGGATTCAGATGCGAGGAATGTTTCAATTGCACACGCAAGAAGGCTGCACGCGAGCACTGCGAGACGCCGTGACGCGAGAGAACGCATCTGAAGCACGCCAGATTATATTCGAGAGGCTTCGCCATTCCGCCGACCTCCAGACGAGAGATGAAGTCAACGGGTGAGGCCATGAGGGGCCTCTTTGGTGGGGGCCCTCTGGGGGTCTCTTTAGGGCCTCTTTGGGCATCTTGGGAGTTTCTTGAGCGCCTGCTGGCGATCTCGGGGATCCTCTTTGGACGGAGGGCTCGGAATATGTGTTCGAGTGATCTCTCTTGGGCCCCTTTTGGGGCTCTGTTGGGACTCTCGTGGATCATCTTTGGCGCCTCTCGGACCGTCTTGGGACCCTCTCTGGCCGTCGAGACCAAACATGCGAATATGTTTACGCGTTCCCCCGAGGGATTTGGACGATTCGTGCTTCTTGGGGGCCTCTTGGGTGTCGTCTTGGAGTCCTCTTGGGGTATCTTCGAGGCCTTTTGGGCAGTCTTGAGCCCATCTTGGTCGTCTTCGAAGGCTCATGTGCGTGTTGGAGCCCTACTTGAGCAAGCGTATATCGATTCTTGGGCATCTTGGAGGCCACAGGGTGCAGAAATGGAGGCTCCGGAGGTCCCCGGGGGAGCGTTGGGTGCTTTTAGCGCCCATTTAGAGCAGGTGGAGTTCCCCCCATAATGGACGCACGGCTGCAAACAGTCGCACTAGGGCAGAGGTCGGGAGCCCTCCCCCCCCCCCCCCCCCCCCCCCCTTTTCCGCCCGATGTCGAGACGCCGAAGACGAACACGCTCAGAAGGTCGTGGTGGTGGAGCCCAACCCGCTCCTGTGCCGCTTCCTCCTCTGGAACGTGCGGGCGCACGGGCTCTGCGCGCGCGTCTGGCCCCTCTGCGCGGGCCTCGCCGCGGAGGAGGGCGCGCTGGCCATGGAGACCTGCAGCCAGCCGTGGGTGGGGCTGACCCGCGGTCGCCCGGCCGCCCTGCGGGCCACATAGGGGGCTCGCCGTAGATCGGGGGCGGAAAAGAGGGGGGGGATGACTATGGGGGGGTGGATATCATGGCGGGGGCCATGATACTTCCCCAGATTTCATGGCGCCTCTTCTTATTTCATTACGTCCCTGGCCCCCCCGCTGGGCCGCGCACATGCCGCCGGTCATGATCTGCACCCCCCCCTCTTGGACACCCCCCGTCTTGGCCGCTCCCGAGTAGAGCTCACAAACAAAAGCAAGCGTACCGATCCCGCGACCCCCGGCTCGCGGCAGACTTTTTGGGGCCTCCCGGGGGGCTCTCGTCGCCACGGGTGGGTTCGCTACGGCGTGCTGGGCAAAGCGCACCCCCCGCCGGAGGCTCGCCGCAAAGGAAGGGGGCCCTCGGGGATGGTAGCCCAGACATTATCGCGTCGTGAAAAAAACAGGACGGGCGGTGTTTGGCTAATCTTGGCCTCGGGGGGCCCTCGCTGGGCCTCGGGGCCCTTGAAACACGACTCGGGACGAAAAGCCGGCCCCGGGGAACGTGTCGGGACTTCCGGGGACGCCGCAATGAAAAAATCATGAAGTCGCATGGCTGAGAAGTCCTCGGGCGGCAGAGAGCCCCAACAGCTGGTCCCGGCTGGCCTCGACAGGCCCCCCGAGGAGCCCCCCACTGGCCTCAACAGGCCTCCTGAGGAGTCCAGGGCGGACTCGGCACCGAAGCCCTGGTGCGCGGAGTGCCCCGGGGGCGCCGCGGAAGGCGGTGCGAAGGGTGCTGAGGCCGCCCCAGACTACTCGGGGGCTGCTCGGGGGCCTGTTGAAGCCAGCTAGGACTGTTCCTCCTCCTCTTCCTCCTCCTCCTCCTCCTCCTCCGTAGCCATTTTGGCTCAAGCCATTTTGGCTCAAGGCCATATCGGGAACTCTACCCCCCGACTCAAGTGGCCGTGCCCGCCGCGCGCGAGTGAGACCCTGGAGAGTTGCCCCAGGACAAGGGTTTCCGCATTCGCTGCACATCACACTGTACAAGTATTTTGCCCCTGTGCTGTAACTTTGTGTCGGTCAGTCTACATCCGCGGGATGGCGCCAAAAGGAGTGAATAAGCAGACCCGTGCTGAACGCCGGAGTGGGCAGAGCCGATCACCTACCAGCCCGAGTGCCCAGCGGGTGTCATCTAGTCACAGCCCATCCTATGGGCGAAGGAGGCCCGTCAGCGAGACGCCTTCGAGGTATAGGATGAGTTCACCGAGTTCCAGCAGCAGGTCACACAGCCGCAGCCGTCGTGGCGGCGGTCGGACCAGCGAATCGCCACCTCCTTGGGCGCGTGAGTTGCTGGAAGGTGTAAAAGGCACCAACCAACGCTTATGTGTATTTGAACAGTCGTTTGGGACCGAGACCCAAGAGCTGAGGACCGCGCTCACGACGCACGATCGGAACGTCCAGTCCATCAACTCCAGGCTCCAGGCAGTGGAGAGCAATTACCCGAAGAGCATGAAGGACGCTGTGGCCGCCGCGGTGGACGTGAAATTCAGCGGGCTGAAGTCGCAGCTGGACGAGATGCGTGCCCAGTCGTGCTCGGCGCCTTCGTCTGCTGAGTCATCTTCCAGCAGATCGCCTGTCGAACCTGGACGCGGTCAGCAGGCTGCGACCAACCCGCTGGTGAGGTTCGTCGGTACGTTTCCTCGGCCTGTTCACAAGACGGCCCGAGAAGCTCATTATCTTCAGTTAACCCAAGCACATCCTCACCTACTGACAGATGCTGAAGGCATCTTCCATTCGGTGGCACAGAACTACAAGATCATTTTCCGCACGCTCGCGGCTGCCAGGCAGTTCGCGGAGAACGTCAACTCGACCGCGCTGCAGTGGAACGACCCGCGGAGCGAAGTTCATCAGCTCAGAGTTCGACAGGACCTGCCGATCGATGTTCGAGATCGACAGAGGACTATATCGCACGTGTACCAACCTATATTGGCACTCCTGCGTCGCCATGCCCAGTGGACTCTAGAGTGCCGCTTAGGGGCGAACGGGTTCAAGGGTGAGATGATGGTCGTCACCCCGTCAGACGTGTTCGTGATCGTTCGCCTCCACAAGAGGAGTGCAATGACCGAGGAGTTCCAGGCTGTCCAGGATGAGCTCAACCTGTGGAGCATCACGAGTTACGAGATCCAGCAGATCTTCGCGAGTGCACAGCAGCCAGCGCGCCAATCGGAATTTTCCCAACGGCACTTTCGTCGTGAAGGCAACCTTGAGAGCGACGTGACTACGCAGTGGGTGGACCATCAACGCGGTGGCGCTGTCGATCCGAGCGCGAGTCCGGTGCATGTTGCTTGCCGTATGCCGAGGGAGAGCTCTGCGCCTCATTTGAGTGATGTCCGTAGCTCGGGCAGCACGGTCGGCGAAGGCGGGGGCCGCTCTTGCTTGCCCCCCATCTGTGCAGCCTGTGCATGCATGTCTAGCTCCTCCTCCCCCCCCTCTGCTGCCTCTTCTGGTGGGGCACCTGTTCCACGAGGCGGACTTGAAGTCCCGCTCGTTCCTGATTGCCCGCTGGGGGTGTGTTCCTGGAACATTCAGACTGTCTTGGGTTCGGTCCATCCCAACCGAGCCAGCTTTCGACGTAAAATCGGCCATCTGCGTTCCCTGCTTCGTAAGTTCCAGGTCCTCGGCATCCAGGAATCTCACGGAGGGGGGGGGGGTGATATTGAGCACCCTCGGCGTGAATTTCGATCCCATCAAGCCTTCGGCTGTTTTTGCTCCTCTCCCTCAGCGGGCGGCAACCTCATCCTCATAGCTAAGCAGTACCTCCGCAGCTTCAGTCGCCACGAATTCAAGATCGTCGCACCGGGCAGGATCAGTTACTTGAGGCTCTTCTCAGAGAAGGGCTGCGTGCAGTTCGTGAAAGTCCATATAGACACAGAGTTAGGCGCCAATGAGGCCAAGGAGATTCTGGGGAAGTTGAGAAACAAGCTCGGGGACCCAGGTAATATCAGTACGCTTTTGTTTGGCGTTTTCAACTTTATGGCCGTGAGAGAATCTAGGGTTCAACAGGTTTAGAGGGTCCGATTACCAGCAGGCTTGCCTCAACGTTTACTTCTACATTTCCTTATCTAGCGGAGATATCGCAAGATGGAGATGCCCGCAGGCTGCAGAGGGACGGGGCCTGGTCGCATGGGAGGCTCGACAGGATCTATTGCTCGCTTCCGTCCCAGGACATCCTGGACCTGTGCCCGTCCTCTGGGGTTATGTGGCCTGCTTCGGACCAGTCCAAGCCCTCTGATCATGTTCCTGTTCTTCTTACTCTTAAGCCATGGAAGCCGTCAGGTCCCGCCCCCGTTCCAGCTTGGATCGCTCGCCACCAGGCGTTTCGCGACGCCGTGCAGGACCTTCTAGTTCCAACAGAACTAGGGGAATACCTCGACTCCCAGCTGCAGGGGGTCAAAGATGTTTTTTTTTTTTTGTTTGCCGCCGGTGCCGCTCGGCATCAGACATCGCGTTCTGGAGCCCATTCGCTTGAAGAACGAGTTGCCTGCTGCCTTAAACTCGCTCGGGGTCTTCGATCTGGGAGGGGCCACAGTGCCCGTGGCGCTATCCGTGGGCATTCGTTGCTGGAGCAGCTTGTGGACACCGAGATCTGGATCTGGAAAAGTCGTTCTGGCTTCGGTTCCCATCTTGGAAGGCCCATGCGGGAAGTTTGTTCTAAGCGAGAGGCTTCCCTCGAGCAGGTAGTTGAGCGCGCGAAGGCCGAGGTCGCAGAGGCCAAGTGTGCTGCTGATGTGCAGCGCATGCGAGGCATGGCGCTCGCTTGGCGGCTGCGCGGCCGTAAGATTAGCCTGCAACGAGTTACCGATGCTGATGGCAACCGCTATGCTGACGGGAGGGGCTGCGCTAATATCCTGGCGAAATATTGGGGGGGGGGGGGGGGTATTCCGTTGGGCCACGGCGCCAGTGGAGGCCATCAACAAGCCCTGTGAAGAGATAGAACCGCTGCCCCTGGACTCCTACCAATATAAAGCCAAAGACCAGTCGCTTTATCCTCGGTTTTTACCTGAAAGTACCTTCCAGGACATCCTCGCATGGAGAAAGGATACACCCCCTGGCCCCGACGGGACCCCATATGCAGCTTGGAAAGCAGCAGGAGATACAGGTCAGCATGTTCTTTACCAAGTGTATCAACGCCTGATGGATTCAGGCCGCCTGCCACCGCAGTTCAACATCTCGAGAGGGGTACTTCTACCCAAGGAGAGTCCAGGCGGCGCTGAAGATGCGCGCACCCCTGCATGTACGCGGCCCTTGTCCCTCAGCAGTGCCGACAATAAGATTGTCACCAGCTGCGTAGATTTCGCTCTGAATAAAGTTGTGGAGGACATTGCTGAAGTATGCCAACGAGGCTTTGTGAAAGGCCGCCAGATGTTGGATACAATTTTTGAGATTGGTGCAAAATCCGCTTGACATGTTCTGGTCTACCAATGGTCCCAGGAGCCTTCGCTGATGATTTTGGAGTAGCGTGCAGGAACATCCTCGAGAGCTTACCCGAGGTCTTGAGGATATGTGTTCAGGCAGGGAAGTGCACGGGCCTCATCTTGAACCTTACGAAGTGCGTCTTGATTATCCCCATCCCCGACTTCAGGAGCACGGTTGCCCAGGAATGTCGGGCCTTGGGGCTAAGTATCTCGCAATTCTCCGTAACCAAGAATGGTGAGTACCTGGGTGTATTCTTGGGCATCGACGGTCAAGGGCGTCTTGGAGGCAAGTGATGCACACCTTGAGCAAACGGTCCCTCCAGGTTAAGCAGGTTGGGGGTGGGCTGAGCTACAGCGTCTCGGCCTCCAATCTTTTTGGGGTCCCTGTTGTCAGTCACGTTGCTCAAATCTGGGAGCCCCCGAGGTGGACTGCCCTTGCGGAGAAAAATGTGTTTCAACGGTTGACGTGCGCTCCCAGGTCTTCGTTTCCTCCAGAGGCATTACGCCAGCTCAAGGACCTTGGGCACAAACCAGAAGCTCGGCGACTCACTACCTTTGCTCGTGCATGTCTGCTCCGTGCTGCCTCGAACTCCCCCAAATTCCATCGGCTCAAGGATGAGCTCGAGGTGTTTTCGCAGTCTGACGATGCCTGCATCGCCTTCCGTGCCAGCCCGTACGCCCGACACTGTTTTTTTCCTGCGAATGTGGGATCAGCACGACGCGTTCTACCGCGCGCACAGGCCGATGAAGTGCCAGAGGAAGTCCGGACAGGCAGCCATCACCAGGAAGCTTAACCAGGATTGGGGAATGAACCTCACCCCCACTGCTGAAGTGATCGCCCCTCGGTTGAAAAAATGGGACCCTTCGATTTCGGCTGCTGGTATTTTTCGACGCTTACCAGGATAGAAGTCGCGAGCCAATACCTACCCAGTTTCATTATGACTGCGCGTTTGAAGAGTATTTTCAACGGGTGGAATACCACACGCAGTATCGCCAAAGTATCCAGGTCTGTGGATTCAGCTGCTGCGCGATGGGCGGCGACGATCTCCTCCACTACTCCAACTGCCCCGTCCTTATCGAGTGTGCCCATCGTGTTCTCCCTTGGTTACCTGAAGGTTGGGGCGCTGAGCCTCTGAATGCCATCCTCCCTCACCTATTTAGCAATACGACTAGAGAAGCCCTCCTGTCCCAATTCGTTGACATTGACCTTCTACATAATACGTACCAAAAAATTTAGAGCCTCTCCCTCGGCATGCTTTCCCCCGAGTTTACCCTGGGCCTCATGAAAACCCGCCTCAGAATAGGAGCTCGACGCAGCAAGTGTGTACTAGCATTAGCACGGGGCGTTCAGACGACAGCCTCTGGACGGCCGAGCAGCCCGTGACGGACACGGTGCCGCCGCAGGACCGCCCCTGCCTAGGGGGACAGACGATCTCGTTTTTTCTCGTTCGTTTTTGCTCTTGGCCGCCCTCCCCTTTTCTGATCGGTGGTACTCCTCCTCCTCCTCCTCCTTCTCCTCCTCCTCCTCCTTCTCCTCTCCTCTCCTCCCCCTCACTCCCTCCTCTGTCCTTTCTCTACTCTAAGCCTCCTCCGACTCCTCCTCCTTCCCTCCCTCATCATACCTAACCATCCTCTCAATCCTCCTCCTCATCATCCACCTCCTCCCTCCCCATCCTACTCCTTCCTCCTCATCCTTCCTCCTCCTCCTACCCTACCTCCGAATACCTTCTCTCTACCTTCTCCTGCTCACTCATCCATCCTCCGCCTCCTCCTCTCCCTCCTCCTCCCTCCCTCCTCCTCCTCCTCCTCCTCCCTCCTCTCCTCCCCTCATCCTCACCCTAATACTACCTTCCTCTCATTCCTCCTCCTTCTCCTCCTTTTCCTCCTCCTCCTCCTCCTCCTCCTCCTCCTCCTCCTCCTCCTCCTCCTCCTCCTCTTCTCTCTCCTCCCTTGCTCGCGTAGTTAAACAAGTCATGACTGGAGGTATTTGGTAATTTTCGGCCTCGGGGGGCCCTCGCCGGGCCTCGGGACCGTCAGGGAACGACTCTGGATGAACAGCCAGTCCCGGGGAAAGGGTCGGGACTTCCAAGGATCTCGTACCGACCAAAATCAGGACGTCGCATGTCTGGGTACGGAACGCGTTGGGGTCATTCCACCAGTGCTGTCACAGGGTCCGCCGATAGCCGTTCGGTTTCCAGCCCCGAGGTTGGAGCAGGTCGGGAGGGCACACCAGCTGTGCTTTTGCAGGGCGTGCCCGAGGGGGGTATACGAGCGACGACGATGAAGAGTAAATGCGACGAGAGTGTAGGTGAGAATCAGGCCGGGAGTAGTCATGGTGCGAACGCAGATGAGGATGAGAGTGTACCTGAGAAGAAGTGGGAATGGCGACGGATGTGATTATGATTGATGATGACGACGAAGAGTGACGATGCTGAGAGTGCGGCTGGAGGTGGGGACGAAGGGGATGACGGGCGAGGCTGCGAGGGTGCAGGCCGCCATGCTCGCTTGTGCATCAGCGGCAAGGGGAAAACTAGAGCCCAGCTTGTGTGTGTGTGTGTTTGCGTCTGTGTGTGTGTGTCCAACGGACTCGGCCGTCTAGATGCGCGTGCGGGCCCGCTTCTGTGACCTTTCTACGCCCTGTCGCTGCGCGCGGGGCCGCGAAGCCAACTAGTGCGTGTGCGTGTGCGTGTGTGTGTGCGTGTGTGTGTGTGTGCGTGCGTGCGTGTGTGTGTGTGTGCGCGTGTGTGTGGGTGTCTGTGTGTCTGTGTTGCTGTGTGTCTGTGTGTCTGTATGTCTGTGTGAGCGTGTGTGTGTGAGTGTGTCTGTGTGTGTGAGCGCGCGCGCGTGTGTGTTTGTGTGCGTGTGTGGTTGCGGAAGGTGTGTGTGGATGTGTGTGTATGTGTGTGTGTGGTGGTGGTGGGGGGGGCGGGGAACAAACAAAAGCCATCGCACAGTCAACATAGGCCCCCTGGGTGAGTCCGTCGGTGTCGGATAGGCTCGCCATGCCTTCTGCTTCCTCGGTCCATGGGCACCTCTGATTTGGCGCGATCTCGGTGCATTGTATCCTTGGCTGTTTTCGATTCTGCATGCGTCACGCACGCCACATAGTGATCGTTGTTTTATGCATTGCTTTGCCGATCGGCGCGGGTATCCCCCCCCCCCGGAGTAGATCTTGGCTGTGGTCTGGCGCCTGCTTCGAGCGGGTGGGGTCTCCCCCAGAGGCCGCACTCTTTGCAAACAGGGGCACCATGCAGAGGTCTCGAGCCAGACCCCCCCCCCTTGCCGCCCAGTGTCGAAACGCCGAATCAGCAAGCGCTCGCATGGCTGTTTTCGATTCTGCACGCGCCGTGCACGCCACACATGGAACCAAGCCTGGCCAGCAGGCGCCCCACAGAAAGCCCCCCCCTTTTCCCCGCGCGCCCCCGTGCGACCAGCGCGCTCCGAGTGGATGGGCCCCTCGCGAGGTCCGAGGTGGGCCGAAGTGATCACCGGAGGGGGGCCACGCTGAGGCCACGGGCGCTCTCCCGCCTGGCCGAAGATTGAGCAACATCGGATCCTGACCTTCGGATGTTCCAACCTGCTTGTAGCTTTGACCACGAGAGAGTTTCGAGCACCAGTGAGGTGCCGAGACCGGAGGGCTTTCACGTGCCCGGTCCTGGGAGGCGATGCTCGTTCGATGATGTCTCGATATTCTTTCTGGGTGCTCGAAGTTTCTTGGACGTGGTCCTCAAGTGCGATCTGAGCAGCATAACCCTAGCCCTCTCCAAGGGTCCACCCTGACACGAGAGGCCCAGCACAAAAAGACGGAAAAGGCCGCCGCCGCCGTGGTCTCGGCCGGCCCCTTGGGGGGGCGCTCTCTCGGGCCTCTGGCGGCCGTTCGGGACGATTCCTGCATCCCGAGAACGCCCGTGGCACCATCCCGGGTCACAGAAGCCTCTGAAAATGTTCGTGGGCCTTTTGAGGAGGGCTGGACCACCTCCGACACAAGTCGGGGGCAGGAGCATGACCATGGAGTTGTGTTCGCAGTCGCCGCCGTGCACAGTGTAGTAGACATTCCTCGGGGTAGGTGTGCGATGTGTGCTTATGCTTGGACGATGGTCTGCGTGTCCTAGTGCGTATATCTTATATACACATATATATATATATATAGATGCACCTATGTATATATGTATACATGTATGTGTATATATGTATGTATTTATATGCGTGTGAGGCGTTCCAGAAAAGGCCTCACCTTCGACAGTCGCAGGGGTTGCCCTCTCTTCCTCGGCGGAGGGCGGCGGAAGGGCGGCGGAAGCTCGCAGAAGTCAAACGAAGCTACCTCCGCCGGCGGAAGGCGGCGGCAATGAAAGATGTGCCCAAAGATGGATCCAGGGTTCCCGGAGCCCGCCATGTGTGAATACGTGTGTGCGGTGGCCGAACTGTCGATCTGTTCAAACCAAGTCGAAACGCCGCGGTCGACATGCCGGCGGGGCGCGTCGAATGCGACCAGATCCGCGGCCCCAGAGGCGCCCCGCCTAACAGCGCCGACGTCGAGAGTTGAGGCCTGCGCGCACCTGTGCGGCTCTCACGTAAGCTATTGGTCGACGGCGAGCGAGGGGGGGGAGTGAGAAGGAGAAGGCCTTCTCAGAAGGTTCGGAAGTCCTCCAAGCCCTCCCCGAAGACAGAACAAAACTCCTCGGAAGGTGCGAGGGCATCTGAGAAGTCCCGCCGCTTTCTGAGAAGGCCTTCTCCTTCTCACTTCCCCCCCCCTCTCGCCGCCGAGTGGAGTGCCGAGCCTCCTCTTCTTCTCCTCCCTCCTCCTCCTACCCTCCTCTCCTCCTCCTCCTCCTCCTCCTCCTCCTCGTCCCCAATCTCCTCGTCCCCCACTCCTCCTCCTCCTCCTCCTCCTCCTCCTCCTCCTCCTCCTCCTCCTCCTCCTCCTCCTCCTCCTCCTCCTCCTCCTCCTCCTACGTGAGCTGTGGAGTGCCGTGCGTGCCGGCTCTGCCTGGCCTCGGGGGGGAGGGCATTTTGCTGCGCCCCCCGCCCAACCGTTTCTGGCCCCCTGGGGTGCGGCGGGGGCCGACCGCGGGTGCCGACGGTCAACACCTGCATGAACATGGCCCAGCGCACCGTCAGGAACCACGGGCGGGTGGAGGGGGAGGAGGAGGAGGAGGAGGAGGAGGAGGAGGAGGAGGAGGAGGAGGAGGAGGAGGTGGAGCCACGCCTCAAGGACGCGAGGAGGAGGAGTCAAGGAGGAGGAGCGAGGAGCGAGGAGCGAGGAGCGAGGGAGGAGGAGGAGGAGGAGGAGGAGGAGAGAGGGACGCGAGGAAGATGAGAGTGGAGCGGAGGAAGAGAGGATGCGAGGTGGAGGAGGAGGAGGAGGTGACAGGGGAGGACGGGGAGGAGCGAGGTAGTGAGGAGCGAGGAAAGAGGAGGAGCGAGAGGAGGAGGAGGAGGAGGAGGCGGAGGAGGCGGAGGAGGATGAGGAGGAGGAGGAGGGGAGAAAAGCGAGGCGCGAGGAGGAGGAGCGAGGAGCGAGAAGTCGGGAGGAGGAGGAGGAGCGAGGAGCGAGGAGTGGGGTCGCTCCACGGATCGAACCCCCAGGGGTCCATCCGGATCCGTCTCTCGAGGTACGCCAGACCATGGAGGCGCCATGGACCGAAGAAAACACGGCGTAAGGATAGACTCTTGGATCTGCGCTGGGCCCCCTCGGCGGCGCCGCCCCCGGCGCGACCCGCGCGCCAAGAGGAGGGGTCCAGCGCCGATCCAAGAAGAAAGCCGCGCGGAGCTCTGGAAGTTTGAGTTTATGTTTATCCTTCAGTTTCGAGTGGAACAGACGGGTCCTGCGGGGGAGCGGGCCCCTGCGGTCTTGCACCGTGGCTTCCCTCCCTCGGCCCTCCACGGGCTCCGGGACTGCCTCGGGCTTGGCATCGCTCGGACGTGTGCGTTTTTTTCCTCGGCGAGGACCATCGAGGAGCATCCTTGATCATTTGACGAAAAAAACCACGCACGAAACCGAAAAAAACACAGGGAATGGACGTCCGAGCGATGGCGAGCGGGAGGACTCAGGCGAGGAGCTGGTCTGGGGGGGGAGGCCCAGTGGGTCCAGGCCCCGCCTCTCGCTCTCAGTGCCCGTTGCTGTCATGCCAAGGGGGGCGGCCCAGGCCTCCTGGAGGAGGGGCAGAGGGAGGAGGGATCGAGCCTCGGGCGTCTGGGCGTTTCTCTCAGTTCCCCGGAGGCCTCTGGCATGAGTTCCAGCAGCTGCGCCCTCCTCCTGCAGTTCAGCATCGGAGGGTTTCGGTGGTTCCCCACGTCCAAAGCGGGGTTTTCGTTTTTTCTGGACACCCCGCCCAGGAACAGGATAGAAGGAACACCCCCCTCTCTTCCCACTCGCACACTTACACACTCACTTCATCACCACAGCATTACCACAACATCACTTACACACGCACTCACGCTCATTCGACCACTCTCATTCCCCACATCCTGAGTGGGGTTCTTGTTTTCCCAGAACACCCTCTCCTTCCCACCCACCACCCGCTCCATCTTCACCTACAGCCACAATATTATTCTACCACACACCATACCATAAATATAGTTTCCTTAACCACACATACCATACCATACCATACCTTAACACACCTTACGTACCCATACGTATCCATACCATACCATGGCCGGACCATAGCATACCATACATGTCACACCAATGCCCCACAGACCGTACCATACATACTCATAACATACCATATCTTACCATACCGTACCATTACCATACCTACCATACCATTCCATACCATCTCCATACGAAAACCATACTATTTACATGGTTTCGTGCCCTTCCCACCTCTCCAGGCACGCCCCGCCTGAGCGAGGAGGGTATCGGAAAACCATACTATTTACATTGTTTCGTGCCCCTCCCACCCCTCCACGGGAGGCCCGCTCTGAGCGAGGAGCGTATCGGGAAAACATATATTTAAATAGTTTCGTGCCCCTCCCACCCCTGCAGGAAGGCCCAGCAGTCTGAGACGAGGAGCGGTGGTACCTGTGAAGGGAAAACATATATTTACAGTACATTCGTTGCCCCTCCCACTCCTACAGGGAGCGCCGCCTGGCGAGAGGGTTCCGGAAAACCATTACTATTTACATAGTTTGTGCCCCTCCCACCACTCAGGAGGCCCCCGCCTCTCTGAGCGAGGAGAGGGCTATCGGAAAAAACCATACTATTTACATCGTTTTTCGTGCCCTTCCCACCCTTCCAGGGAGGCCCCGCCGCGAGGAGTGTATCGGAAAACCATATTATTTACATGGTTTCGTGCCCATCCCACACCTCCAGGAAGGCCCCGCCTGAGCGAGGAGGGTATCGGAAAACCATACTATTTACATGGTTTCGTGCCCCTCCCACCTCTCCAGGGAGGCCCCGCCTGAGCGAGGAGGGTATCCGAAAACCATACTATTTACATGGTTTCGTGCCCCTCCCACCTCACCAGGGAGGCCCCGCCTGAGCGAGGAGGGTATCCGAAAAACATACTATTTTTCATGGTTCGTGACCCTCCCATCCCTCCTGGGAGGCCCCGCCTTGAGCGTAGGAGGGTAATCGGACAAACATACTATTTATATGGTTTCGTGCCCCTCCCACACCTCCAGGGGGGCCCCGCCTGAGCGAGGAGGGTATCCGAAAACCATACTATTTACATGGTTTCGTGCCCCTCCCACACCTCCAGGGAGGCCCCGCCTGAGCGAGGAGGGTATGGGAAAACCATACTATTTACCTGGTTTCGTGCCCCTCCCACCTCTCCAGGGAGGCCCCGCCTGAGCGAGGAGGGTATCCGAAAACCATACTATTTACGTGGTTTCGTGCCCCTCCCACACCTGCAGGGAGGCCCCGCCTGAGCGAGGAGGGTGTCCGAAAACAATACTATTTACATGGTTTCGTGCCCCATCCCACTTCTCCAGGGAGGCAAAACCATACTATTTACATGGTTTCGTGCCCCTCCCACACCTCCAGGGAGGCCCCGCCTTCAGCAACACCGCGTGCCCTTTCGCGAAGTGCGCCTCCGTGACCTTCGACCCAGACCTGGGCTTCGCTGTCGTGGACGGCTCGACGGTCACCTCCGTCCGCGTCCTCGTCACCTTCCAGGACCCGGATGAGGACGAGGAGACAACGGTGCCCGACACCGCGCAGGGCTTGCGCGTCACGCGGGTGGCCACGTGCGCCCTCGAGCCCGCGGGCCAGGAGGCGCCAGCGAAGTTCCAGTTCACTGCTGGCGGCCTCTCCAGCGCCGTGCAATGGCTGGTCCGCGCCGACGGGACGTTCTTCCTGAGTGTTACAAAACGGAAGAAAGACAACACTTTCGTTGTTCAGACACACCACAAGGTGACCCCGCCCGACGCAGCGTTGTGGGCGCAGTTCATGAACAAGACTTTGGCGATCGCGAAGGGCCCGCCGCTTAACTTCGGCCACTCCATCAATCCAATGAAGCGCAAGCGCGCTGGATGAGGCCGCTGGCCCCTCCGCGGCTGCGGACATGACAGTCCGCAGCCGCGGGCTGGTCGAGGGGTGAGCTGCGTCCGCCCACCGCTGGTCGCCCCCGCTGCTTCGGTCTGCTGGTGTAGCGGCGCTTGCGTTGCAGCAGGTGGAGGTGACTTGGAATCGTACTACCATCGGTCTTCACTGCAGTGGCTGCGATTAAATAGCACTCCGCGTGGGCTTAAGAGAAGTCCCCCCGCGCGTCGGCCCGAGTACAGTCAGGCTAGTAGGTTAACGCCGCGTGCACAACACCATAATGCAGCGATACATTGTTTGGGAGATTATTGACAGTCTTTTAAACCGCTCTTGGCCGATCAGTGTCTGCGTTCGAATTGTAGTTACCAGACACCTCGGCAAGTGCTTTCGTCTAGCGAACTCGCGTCGCCCACCCTCTTGTATAACCTCGACTGGGCGAGGGAAATGAGACCACTCAGACCAACCTCGCGAATCGGACCTCACGAGGAAAATGAGACCACTCAAACCAACCTCCCGCTGCTGCTCCTGCTGCGGTTCCTGCTGCTGCTCTTCGCCATCGTCCATCTTATCCTCTTCCTCCTCCTCCTCCTCCTCCTCCTCCCCCTCCTCCCCCTCCTCCTCTTCCTGGAGGGTATCGGAAAACATGCTGTTTACACGGTTTCGTGCCCCCCCTCCACTCCTCCAGAGAGGCCGCGCTTGAACGAGGGGGGTCGCGGAAAGCATTACTCTTCGCCAGGTTTCGTAGCCCTCCCCCCTTCCAGCGGGGCCCCGCCAAAGCGAGGAGGGCATCAAGAAAATGGGCCCCACGAAACCGTTAATCTCTTTATGTGGGGAACTCCGCTAGCGTAATTCATTTTCTCTGGACACCCCGCGCAGTCCTGTCACCTCACCCCCCCTCCTCTTCTGCCATCGCACGTTCACTCGCTCACTCACTCACGCACCATCATCATCATAACACCTCCAGCTCCCTCTCCCTTCGCACACTCACTCACTGGCCTCATCATCATCTCAATTGTCATCATCATTCACATCATCATGATCATCACTCGCCTGTGTGTCGTCTCGGGCGGGAGCCTCGTCCGTGAGTGAATTGCGAGGGAGTTTCAGGCGGGGGCCCCCTCCCTATGGAACCCGCAATCAATGCTTTTAATCCGAGCGGGTCATCGGTCTCCTGTAACTGTCGTCACTTTTGGGCTCCTGAGGGAGGCCTGAATATGGAGGAAGTATCAGGCGGGAGCATCGTCTGTGAGTGAATTGCGGGGAAGTCTCAGGCGGGAGCCCCCTCCCCATGGGGCCCGCTGTCCATGTTTTTTAATCCGATCGGGTCATCGTTCTCCTGTAACTGTCGTCACTTTTGGGTTCCTCAGGTTTGAATTTGGAAAAAGTATTTGGCGGGAGCCTCGTCTGTGAGTGAATTGCGGGGAAGTCTCAGGCGGGAGCCCCCTCCCTATGGGGCCCGTTGATTTTAATCAGAGCGGGTCATCGGCCTCCTGTAACCGTCAGCACTTCAGGGCTCCTGAGGCTTGATGATGGAGGAAGTATACGGCGGGAGCCTGGTCTGTGAGTGAATTACGAGGAATCTCAGGCGGAGTCCCCTCCCTAAGGGGCCCGCACCTCACGTGCTTTCACAGTATCGTCCTCCGGCGCTCGCTTCCTTTGGGTTGTCCTCCAGCGCGTAGCCGCTGGGACGCACGTCGTGCGTTTCCTCTATGTCGTGTTCTGCACGAGGAAGAGGGGGAGGAGAAGGAGAAGAGGAGGAGGAGGAGGAGGAGGAGGAGGAG